TCACATCCAGCCCAGACGGAAGGTGGGCAGGGAGGGGCCAAGGAGGAGGGGGCTGACCTGGAGTCTCCCTGGGGGCCTCAGCGTCCGGGGAGCTCGGGAGGGGCTGTGCAGGCGTTAGGGGTCTGTGGATAGACCTCTGTAGCCCCGGGGCTCGGACCAGCCCAGCCCCTAGGCCCGATGGAAAATCAGAAGCTAAATGTCACTGCCTCCCAGCCTGAGCTGACTGGTTCCCCTTCCCAGCCCGGCGTCTGTGTCTACTCCTCATGTCTCAGAACCTCTCATTAACTGGCCCTGACCTTTAGCCCCTTCCCTCCCCAGCCCCCCTCAGCCCCCAGCTCACCCATCTCCCCTCCACGTGTGCCCTGTGGCTAGTCTGGCACAGATGGTCTGGGGAATGGAGCCCTGCACAGGAAGGACCCCAGCCCCAGGACCACGTGACTCCCTCCTGTATTCAGCCCACCCTCCCCCAATACACACACATGCTCTTTTTGGATCATTCGGACTGTGCTGTTGAATCTCAAGTTCACATATCATCAGCTCCAGAGACCACTAAATCCAACCCCCATTTTACAAGTGGGGAAACTAAGGCCCAAAGAGGAATGGACTTGTCCAGAGTCACATGACAAGGAAACCCCTCTAAGCCCAGCCAGTCCTTTCCCCGACAGGGGGCCTCCCCGGCAGCCCCCGATGGCCTCTAGACTCTTCCTAGACGGGTTCTCCTGGCCTCACACTCACCTGTGCCTCCCAGACCTGGCCAATTGCAGGGCCCCAAAGTTAATAAATCAAGGTGACTTTGGGGACAAGAATCAGCCTCTTTTCTCCCTTGTCCCTCCCATTTGCATAATCCTGGCTGGCAATATGATAATGATGTTTGTTAAAGACAGAGCACAATAAATTAATACCGTTAAGTTGTTGCTGCAAAATGCAAAGCAGGTAATTTACTGCCAGCGAGGAACGGAGCCTTTAAACTGTAATGGATTAACTTTCCCAGCAGCAAATGTGTCCCCCGAGGCAGCGAGTGAGGGAGGCAGGGGCGGGGCTGGGGATGTTAGGGCCCCTCCACCTGCTTCCCAGGGCCAGGCCTGGGGGTCCAGGCCAAGATCTTAGGCCTCCGCCAGATGTCAACCCCTTCATTGTACAGAAGGGGAAACTGAGGCCTGAGCAGGACAGGGAGCTGTGGCAGGCCACTCGAGGCTGTGGAGGAGACCTGGGGGCTCCGTATGACAGCCCACCCTCTCTAGAGGAGGGGGCTGTGGAAGCTGCATTTGCACCCCGACCCGGGGACACTCAGAAGGAGGTCCTCCTCTTCCTTGGGGGGCACTGGAGGGGTCCCCCAGGCCCAGCAGAGGCCTCAGCCCCGGGGTTAGCCCGGCCCAGTCCCTGGCTCCTTGCGAGTCCGCACCATGGCAAGGAGGGAAGGATGCTGGGTTTGGCGAGGGCCAAGGGGAGGGCGTCGGGAAGGGGAAAGCGTGGGCCAGGAAGGACCCTGCAAGCTGCCCCCCAACTCTCACACCCTGGGAGGGGCAGGGGCTGTGGAGGGAGGAGGGGAGAGGTCAATTCTGTCTGCAGATGTCGGATGTCGGGGAGTGGGATGATGGCAGTGGGGAAGGTGGCTGGTGGGGGGGGTGTGAGAGGCTGGCGGGCCAAGGACAAGCGGGGGCGGTGAGCCAGGGCCCCCCATGGGCGGCCCCTCCACGGGGGCTCAGCCAGCCTCCTTGGTGCCGAGGAGAATTGCCGCAGCCCGGCTGAGGGCGGGCCGCAGGCGGGTCTCTGGGACCCCAGCAGAATTCTAATTTCCCACTTATCTCTGCAGCTTCTCCAGGGATATTAAAGGGGCGATGCTCTGCAGTCGGCTCCCAGGCTAATTGGATTTGGGCCTCACTCCCCATGGGGGGTGGCAGCCCTGGGGGAAGGGATGCTCAGGGACCGGGGCTGGGGCTGCAGTCCTCAAGGCCAGACTCCTGGGTCACAGTCCTGACTGCCACATGGCCTTTGGTGAGCCTCTGCCCCTCTCTGCAGCCCGCATTCCTCATCTGAGATGATGATGATGATGATATTAACAGTAATAACAGTGCCCATCACTTCCATAGCATTTCCCAGACACCGGGCACTGTTGAAAGTGCAGGACAGCACCCCTCAATCCTTCAATCCTAACAACAGCCCAGTGCAGTAAGTGCTATTGTGTCCCATTGTGTGGATGAGTAAACTGAGGCATGGAGGGTTAAGTAAGTTGCTCCGGGTCTAAATAGATCCTACAATGAACCTTTCAAATTTGTGATGTGCCTAGAGTCCCAGTTTTAAAAACCCAGTTACACTTGAACAAGCCCTGGAGTTGGGGGTGGGGCACCCTGTGCCCATTTCGCATGTGGGAAAACTGAGGTCTGGACCAGAGATGTTTTTAGCTTTAGGGCTCTGTCACTCCCACCAAGGGCTCCCTTCCTTCTTCCCCATTCCAGGGTCTGGGCATTTCCAGGGTCGAAGCCTGGGGTTTCAGATGGTGCATTCGGTGCGAGTGTTGAGGGGTCAGGGGACCTTCCTCCCAGCACCTACCTTGGCCCACCTCTCTCCTTCCTTGGGCTGAGGCCTCCATCCTACCGTCCTCCAGGCCTGCTGGGGACCCTGGTCCCACACTCCTAGGCTGCAGGGAGGGCCTCGCCTCCTTAGCAGAGAAACCCCAGGTGCCACTCGCACCTCTGCAGGTCCGGAGTAAAGGACGGAAAGGAAACGTTGACCATCTACCGCAGCCTGCTCCCCGGGGACCCTGGAACCAGGCCCTTTGCACGTGTTGCCTCAGGTCATCTTCATGATAGACCTATAGTCGGTGCAGCTGAAACACCCATTTTGCAGGCAAAGGAACTGAGGCTCTGGTGAAGGGCTTCACGCAGCAAGGGCCTGATTGAACTGGATCCAAACCCAGGTGTGTCTGGGTCGAGACCTTGAGCTCTTAACAGCGCACTCCCCTGAGCAAGAGAGAAGCTGAGATTCCAAAGTTGTACTATCGGAGGGCCGGAGGCAGGGCCGGCAGGCAGGGCCCCAGAAGGTGACTGCCGTAGAAGGAGCCCTGCATGGCGGACCAGGGATCTAGGTTTAGATCGCTGCTCGGCCCGAAACTCACTGTGTGGTTCTGGGCGAGTTACTTGACTTCTCTGAGCTCCAGGGCAAAAGGGGGATAATATACAATAGCGCCTACTTCTTAGGGCCATTGTGAGTATTAGAGGGCGTGTAAACGCAGCGCCTAGCCCAGGGCTGCCACGTAGCAGGTGCTCAGGCAACGCTGGCCACCAGACCAGCCCCCCAAGCCAGCCGGGGTAGCACAGGGAGTTCTTCATCGTGGTCTCAGAAATTGTCAGAGCTGGAAGCATCGAGTGCAAGGCCCTCACCCTTCAGATGGGGGAAACTGAGGCCCAGGGTCACAATACACGAGTGGCAGAGCCAGGACTCAGTCTCTCGGTGACCTCCCTATTCCAGCCAGGGTGACAGTTCTCCTCCCAGTCTCCTTTTGCCCTGAGTGTCCGCATCTGGCTGTCCAGGCCTCCCTCCGAGGCCAGCTGGATGGCTGACCCCGGCAGCCCTCTTCCGTCCCCGCCACTGGCAGGAACCAGCCGGAGCAAATGCAAAGAGACCCCCTCTGGAGGCTGCTCTCGCTGAGTGCCCCGTCCAAATGTTAATTTTGCCAGGGCCTTGATAAATCTTCCTGTCGTCTCCATCCGCTCGAGACATAGATTTCATCTTATTGAGAGGTGACACTTCTGCCCTTTGGTACCAGCTATCAATTTCAGGCAGCGACCAGAGTGGAGAGCAATGAAGAACCAGGCCTGCTGACGCCCCGTCGGCCACCCCATCCTCCCCTTAAGCCCCGGGGGGACAGTCGATGGAGATGACTGCTTCCCTTGCTCTTCCACCCAAGTGTGGGGACCCCGCCCTGAGCACCCCTCACCCGCAGCATGTCAGTGCACACCTGGCCGAGTGCCAGCTGCCAGCACCTGCACCTCTTCTCCCGAGACTTCCTCACGCCTCCAGAGCCACTTGGCTGCCCAGGTGGCAGACTGGAAGAGCCAGGAAATTAATGTCCGGCTCTTAATTAATGACTCTTTGGAGCTGGAGTACAAGCACCCCAGTTCCCTCACACTTTGTGGGGGAGTCGGGTGGACAACTCTCGGGCGTGGGGTCTACACTGCCTCCCTGAGGTCCCCAGTGGAGTGAGGCTCCAGCTGCCCACAGTGTGCAGGCTTGAAAAAGCTGCTTCCCCTCCTGTCTGTCTGCCCCACCGCCCCGCGCTGCTCCCCGGGGTCGCCTCCCAAGAAATCACTTGCCCCTGAACCCCTTCCTCAGGGACCCCTCCCGCAGGATCGCAAACTAAGACCCCCACCAAGCCCGTTTCCTAGCCCGCAAGAGGGAATGCACTCCAGTCGGCAATGAAGACGCTGCAAGAGGCCTGGCATTCATTGAGCACCTACTATGTGGCAGGGGCCATGCGTTTCTTGCTTCCAGATCAATTTGTTGTCCAAGCTGCAAGACAGCTCTCGGGGGCTTATCCCAGTGTTGCAGGTGAAGAAACATGCTCAGGTCACACAGCCAGCCACGAGAAATGTCACATCCAAACTCAGGCAGCACAGCATCTCACCCACCCCATCCCTCCCGCTCTCGGCCCGGGCACGAAGTGGAGCCAGGACTCAACTCTAGGTACGATCGACAGTTCAGTCGGGGGACTGTCTCCCGGGGCCTTCCTATGTAGCAGGCTTCTTCAAATGCTAAGGCCACCACACTAAAAAGATGCAGTTCCTATTGTCAAAGGGGCAGGGGACCTGGGGGAGGAGACAGAGCCGTGAAAGACAGTATGACTGGGACCCCTCAAGAGTGCCTACAGCATCTTCCCTACAGTAAAGTCGTCATCTAAGAATCCTGGGACATCGATGCTGGGCAGCAGCTGAGCGTTGTCTATTTCAACACATCATCACATGGATGGGGCCACTGAGGCCCCCAGAGAGATAGGCACTCACCCAAGGTTGCACTCCAGGCCCAGGGCTCAGTGTCTGAACTCTGCTGAACATTCCCCCAAGAGAGCTGGAGGATCCCTCAGGCTCATAAGCAATTCTCAAAACTCAGAAGTCTTAAAGTACAAAAAAAAAGAACGGATTTTACCACATAAAATATTTAAACTTTTGTGCACCCTAAGAAAAAAATAAGTATACAGACTTAGGAAAAAATAGTTTTTTTATAGTAGGTAAAGGGTTAATAACCTTAATATACAAAGAGCTTCTATCAATCAATAAGAGAAAGACAAACAACCAAAAGAAATGGACAAAAGATATAAGCAGAAGATGCCAGTCTCTGGAGTTAATGCCAGAGTTTTGGACTCCTGAGGATCCCAAGGGTGGTAAAACTGTTATTACTTGTTAAATAAATGCTTATTCATTATTAAAAAATCCATTTGTACTGTGGGTCATACATTACTGCTTGTTAAAGGCATTAAAGCTCTGGGAGCCCTCCCAGATGCCTTATTTACAGTTACAATCATAGAGGAAAGTGGCCAAATGCCAGAGCCACTGTCATGGGACCCACTTCTGGTCCCCTTCCCAAGCCCCATGCCTGTGGTCCCTCTAAGTGGCCTTAGAGCCAAATTGCCCCCACAGCCTGGATGAGGCCAACAATGGAGGAGTTTGGCCAGGGAGTCAGAATGCCTAGATTCAGATCCCGGCCCTGCCACTGACTGGCTATGTGACCTCCACCCCATCTCTGGACCTCAGTTCTCTCATCTGTAAAATGGGCGGGTTGGCATGAATGATCTCAGGGGTCACTCCAACACTGCCGAGCTAACCAACCTCCTGGGGTGGGAGCGGTGGTGGGAAGAGATCTGGCACCCGCCCTCTGCCCTACACTCACCTCTGCACGGAAGGGCAGCTGCTGACCTGATGGCCTGGAACTCACGGAGCCCTTTTAAGTGACCTAGGACAAGGATCTCACTTTACAGATGAAAAGTGAGAAGCCCAGAGAAGAGCAGACACTCCCTTAAAGTTGCCCAGCGCCATCAGGACTAGAGCCTGGGGCTCCAGACTCCTCTTCCTCCCTGGGAGGGAAGCAAAGAGGCCAGAGACAAACCCGTAGTTTGCAGCTGCCGGAAGCTTTCTCTGCCTCCTCGCCTGAGCCTCCTGCCCTCCTCTTGGGCCCATGGAGACCCCTGCCCTGGCCCCCAGTGAGCAGCGCCAACGCTCCACCTTGCTGCTAGAGACACCGCCGCCTCCGGGCACAATGTTGCCCTGGTCAGGAAGTCACCAGCAGGGGTGTCACACCCTTTTCCTTTCCACGCCTCTTCCGCTGCTCCCAGCGGGGGTCAGGGTGGGCCTGAGACCGCAGTGAGGAGATCAGGGTTTGGGGTCCTTCTTGCCACTTACTGTGTTACTCCAGGCAAGCCATGTCACCTCTCTGAGCCTCTCAGTCCCCAGGGCTGTTGTAAGGAAAGAATCAGATAATAAATTAAAGGCATTAGCACAGTACCCAGGATTCAGGGAGAAATCAATAACTAGTAGCTACTATTGTTATCTGAAAAATGGGAGTAATACCACCTACCTTAGGATTCTTGTGAGTGATAGTGACATGATGCATCTAAACCATGTGGCAAAATGGCAGGGCTCATTTAGTGACCACACAGGGGCGAGGTGACTCTGAGAAAGTGGCTTTCAGCTCATTCTCGGCAAAGAGGCCCATCCTGGTGGCTCCGGTGCTCAGCAGGGTCATGACCTCCTCGTCCGCTCCCACCTGGGGCTGACCCCAGCCCAGGCCGGCCTTGGGGCATCGTCCAAGCCGGGGCCGTGCCAAGCGTGGGCGGAAGCCTGGAGCCCGGGAAGACGCACCTGATCGATACTAAGCCAATCTCCGACAAGATTACCCTGGCCTCTGGTTTCCACTCGTAAAGAAAATCACTCAGCACGCTGGGGAGATGTGAAAAATGCCACAGATTACAGTTTGGGATGTTCTGAGTGAGAGCGAGTGAGTCCGGGATTGTTTCCTGCAGTAAATAATTCATCCACTTTAAATTTCGCTTTTTCTCACCAGCTCCCTCTCCTCCTCCCGCTCCCTCTCACCTCGCCCTTCCGCTCTCCGCAAGGCTCCCGCCAGCCTCTGTCCAGGGCACCCGCACAGACCAGCAAGGAGCTCACAGTATAAACGTTTTGTGTCTGTTAATGTCACCAATCGTCTTTCCCTGCCGATCAGGGAAGCTGCCAAGGACAACTGCTTTCTTAATGAGGCCAAGGCCCGCCCAGGCAGGACAGCCTAGTTGGGCACATTGGGAAAAGCTGAAGCTCATCTGGGAGCCTGGCATGGGGCGTGGCACCAAAGAGGGCCACTCTGTGGGACCCAGGGCAGTCTGGCCAGGGATAGCTCCTAGTGTGGGAGACCCTGTCCTCTGCCCCGTGTGCTATCTCCCAGAGGTGATGGCTTGAGTGGGGGGCTGGAGCCCGGCCAGGAGGCCAGGGAGGAAGACCTGGCTAGCGGCGGCCCCTTCACCACCACCACTGTCTCCTCCAGGCTCCAGGTCAAAAGCGTGGATCAACTCCAATCTGAGAGTCACTTCAGAGACCAGGGGCTCAAAACTGGCAATGGTGGGCACCTATGTGAGTCTCGAAGCATGCCAGTAGCTGGCTTTCCGGCAGATGCCCACTCAGCAGGCAGACCTCAGGGAGCTGCTGGGCACCCGAAGATGTCAAACTCTGTCTTGATTTCCAGGAACTTACGGGTTGGTGGGAAGATGGACAGGAACAGGCAACATTTATTGAGCAGGTACTGTGTGCCGGGCACTGTGCCAAGGCCTTGGGCACACTGCTCCCTTCATTCCCCCGACTAACCCGTGAGGTAGGCACTGTTTTGGTTTGGGGCTTTTTGATTGTTTTTATCTTTCTGGTAGTTACTCCTTTTATTCCCATTTTACAGATGAGAAACCCAAGGCAAAGAAAGATCAGATAACTAGTCCAAGGGCACAATAAAGTGGGACCAGGATGTGAACTCGGGCAGCCTGGATCTGAAGCCCACCTATTTTAACCACAAACCCGCTATCAGAGGACGAAAGAGACAGTTTTAATTCGGTGTGAGCCATGCTAGAATAGGGGGTGTTTGGGGGCTGTTTGAGCACCAAGGAAGCACGTCACGCAGCCTTGGGTCAGCGAAGCTTCCAGGAGGCGGTGAGGTCTGGGTTTTGAGGAGTGCGTAGGAGTTAGCTGGGGGAAGTAGGAGGGGAGGTGGAGAGGAATCCCAAAAGATGCGGCACTGTGAGCAAAGCACAGAGGTAGGAAGGGCAGAGCTCAGGAGGTCTCGTGCTGTCGGAAGGTAAGGAATGTGGTAGGAACCGAGAGAGACCAAGCCGAGGGGCGGAGAGGAGGAGCTGGGTCCATGTCCACGCTGAGGGCCACAAGGAACTACGCAAGAAGGGCAGCAGAGAAGACCTGGCTTCAGGAAACTCCCTCTGGCTTCAGGATGGAGGGGACTGGGGAGGGGGAGAGACACCACAGGCCATGATAGGTCAGGGAAGGGCTGGCCAGGGCGGGCTCAGCCCATGTGCTGCCGGGATGGGAGAGGAGAAGGCAAATTCAGTAAGTGATTTGCAGGTAAAGGAGGCAGGCCAGGTGGTGGATGGGGAGTGGAGGTAGGATGAGTGAAAGGGAGGGGTCCAGGACAGGAGACCCGCAAGCTCCCAGGCAGATGGGAGGAGGGCACAGGGGAACCAGGCCAGGCCTCTCGGGATGGGGACATAGCCTGAAGTTGCAATCCCAGCTGGGGCTGCTGGAGCCCAGCCGCCAGTACCTGATAAGGCAAGAAGCGCCCAAGCCTGAAAGGCCCTGGCCAACCACATCTCCTCCCTTGGCACCTGCAGCCCCACCATTCCAGTTCATTCCCCTTGGTTAAGCATCGCCTGTTCTCTGGTGGGGAGTTTGTATTCTGCCATGAACTCTTCTAGGCACTAAGACTCAAATTACATATCATCTCTTTTCAGGGACAGCTTTCTGGATTTTCCCTGGCAGAATACATTGTTCCCTCCCCTGTGGTCCCAGAGTACCTGACATGCGTGTCCAACCCTGATGGCGCTGGAGTGAGGTTTTCAGTCTGTCGTCTGCACTGGCCCGGGCGCTTCTGGAGAGGCAAGAGATCCTTGGTCTGCATGAGTCTTGCAAACAGCATGGTTTTGTGTAAATGCATTTTTGTAATGTGTCTCCCCTTCTAGACTCCGAGCCCTCTGGAAGTGGCCTCTTGTCTTATTTTGTCTCATTTTAATTATCGTACAGTAACATCGACTCTTTTCTTGGTGTACAACTCTATAAATTTCAGCTCATGTATAGATTCAGGTACCCGCTGTCTGAACGCGCTTTCAGTTCGCATAAATGGTATTGTGCTTCGGATTCCCAGCGGCTTCTCTCGCCTTTCATTTCGTGTTCTAAAGATCCACCATGACTGTCACGTGCGCTTGTCTCGTCTGTTGCCCTAACAGCTGCCAGGACCGCCACAGTGTGTGTCACCCAAGACTTCCTGTCCGCTCCCCCACAAAGCGGCCCTGGGTTGCCTCCCACTGCCCCCACCCAACATCGGGATGAGTGCCCTCACACCTGTCCCCGTGGGCATGCTGAGAACTTCACTGATATTTAAATCCAGGAGCAGAATCTCAGGGTCGTAGGGTTAGCGTATTAATAATTATCTCTAAATGCCATGTCACCCGCAAGGGTGTCCAGGCCCATCTTGGGGTGACCATAACAGGCCACGTTAGAGCCGGCGTGTACCAGTAGGGCTGTGCCAGCTGTTCAGATGCTGACATCTTTCCATTGGGGGGGGGGATAGTTGTTGCCCCGTCGCTCCCCTGACTCTTCCCAGGATCCAGCAACTAAAGGGTTACACATGGCCCAGCAGGCCCTCCAGGGTCCCACTGGAATGGCCATTGCCACCTGTGCCATATTTTGAATATCGCCCATGCCCACAAGCCTGTGCAGGGGAACGAGCCAGAGAGGGGCTGGTTGGTTAAGGTTCAAGGGCTCCTCGGCCAGTCTTTGGCAAGCCCCCTCCCCTCGCTGGGTCCCCACTACACGAGATGTACACTGCAGGGCTTGCCGTGCCTTCCCGGGACACGCCTGCGTGATCCTCAGGGCCACCTGAGAGCTAGGAAGTGGCTCCTCATTTGACATATGAAGAAACTGAGGCCCGGAGAGTAGGAGTGATGTGTCCGAGGTCCCACAGTGAGTGACGAGCAGAGCTGTGACCCGAGAGAGTTTAAAGACCAAGGTAAGCCCCAGAGCACTCCTGCTTTGAGGGTCCCCACCCCACCCCACACTGCACTGCAGGCAGGAACATGCGCCACCCCCGCCTCGGGCATCTTTTATGCATGAGTGTAGCAGAGGTGAGTCGAATTGCCATTGACTAGTTGGCACAATGCTAGGTTTTGTAGACATTTAATTAAACCCTCATTAATTTCGATTTTGCTGTTTTCTTTTTGTATTTCAGAGCTAATCTTTTCTCTGTTTTTTGCCTTTCACATTAGAACTTTCTATAGCTTCTTGACAACTGCTTGAAAACTACATGCTCACCAGTGATGGGGCCCAAGTCCGTCTCTGTCTCAATGACAGTCCCTTTGTAGACACCCAGGCTGTGGGGAGAAGGGGACACAGAGGTCAATCAGCTGAGGTCCTGCCTTCAAGGGCTGTGGGTCTGCCTCTGAGCTCAGCATTCCTAAAGGCAAAGGTTCTCCTGTCCCAGGTGGGCTTCCCGGGAAGCTCAGCACGGAAAGATCCGCTGGCCCAGCAGTTGGGGTGGGGGTGGGCCATTCCTGGGGGAGACTGGAAGTTACTAGAACATCTTTTCAAAAGGTGCCGGTCAGGGAAGAGTGGGGACCCAGAACAGCAGGACTCCAGGCTTACAGCCCTGATCCAAATTAATCATGGTGTCAACTAATACCTACATGCATTTAAGCACCTACTGAATGCCAGGCACCATACTCCTATCATCTTATTTAATCTTCATGAGATCTGTGGGACGCAGGCAGGACAGACAAACAAAATATTTAACACTCGGTACAGCGTGCGTGCATCAATGAGAACATTCACTGTTAAAGATAGTGCAGGGCCTCAAGACCCAGAGGAGCTGACCTTTTGTTTTTGGATCATGGGGGAGGAGAGGTGTTTCCAGTGGAACTAGGGTAGTAGCAGGGAGGAGCATTTGCTCCATGGGCTGTTTACCTGAGTACGGAAATGTTGCAATACATTAACAAGACCAGCTGAATGCCAGTTCAGGTCATAGGTAATATTATCATCATTTCCATGTTACAGTCAAGGAAACTGAGGCTCAGAGAGGTGCCACCACTACTTGGGAGGTGCTCCCTGAATTCAGACCTAGGTCGGGCTCACTCAAGGGCCCAAACCTTTGATCCGTAGGCCACTAATGTTTAGCTACCTGTCCCAGCCCTGGGGACTCACGTTCTGGCAGCTTTCTCTTCCCCCAAAGGCCTCCAGATTCGAAGAGCTGGCCGCGGCTCCGGCAGGGGGAAGGGAAGGGTTAACTGGGCCACAGCCCAGGGCACGCATGGCACTGCTCTTAGGCCTGGCAGTCTCTGGCACCTGCCCTGGCCTTTCATCTCCGCAGGCTCCAGGTGAGAGAAGCCAGGTTCAAGCCCACTGGGGACCCAGCAGCGTGGCTTCCCTTTGATCCCCGTGGAGACTGCCTGCGCTGAGCCCGAATCAAACACAGGCAGCAGCAGCCAGTGCCCCAGGGTCCCCAGAGTGGCAACCTCATGCTGCCCTGCCCCTCCACACCCTCCCCTGCCTGGCCTGAGCCTCTGCGTGGGGCGAGGAGGGCCTCGTGCCAGATTCTCAGGGACAGGCCAGAGCTAGGGAGGGCTGAGGGAGGCTCTGGGCCACAGAGGCAGAAGGGACAACTGCGTACGGCCAGGGCAGCAGGCGCTGAGACCCAGACGGGTTGTGGGGGGTGGGGCGAGTTCCAGGGGGCTGGAAGGGGAAGAGGAGAGTGGGCCCCGAAAAGCACAGCCCCTGAACGCAGCCTTTCCCTGAGGCGTTGCCAACCTCGAGGGGTTCAGGTCTCAAGGTGAAAGCTGCGGGGGGCCAGTGAGGAAAAAGCAACGAATTTAAAAGGAATTAGTCAGGAGGAGGTGACAGGCCCATTCTGAAGCAAGATGAATGGGTTTCAGTTGGCGAAAATGATTCTAATTTATAATCTGCTTCTTGCTGCCGCTCGCCAATTAATTCTCTATAGATACATAAATAGGCCGCATGTTTGCTTTGCTTCAAACGTAATAAACATTACACTCTGTCCCCTTCTTTTGTGCTGGTTCCTGTCACGGCATTAGTCCCCACAGCTAATTCCTCACACCTGTCTCTGCCGCTCAGGGGCGCGGGGCTGAGCGGGGAGGAAGTGCCCGGCTCCAGGAAACGCACGGCATGGGAGATAAATTACTGATCCGAAAGCTGCCAACACCCGCCAGGAGCCCGGGCTCCCCGCTCAGGAGAGGCCCCGGCAGGGAGGCAGGGAGGGAGGCAGGGGGCGCAGGGGACTCCCTCTGCTCCTTTCGAGACTCCTGTGTCACAGACTTTGGGACCTGCTTCCTAATGAGGGCGGGCGGGGGAGGCCGAGAACTGTCATCCTGCTTCCCCTGTCACTGGCCCCAGCTCACTGGGCTGCGGACACACCAGGCCCACCCCTGCTTCTCTGGCTTCTGTACTTGCTATTCGCCCTCCACCTGGAGAGCCACCGCCTTTGTGTCAGTCTTCACATATCGGCTTCGCAGTGAGACACTTTCCTGACCCCCTTCCTGAAACGGACACCTCCTCTTCAAACCTCTCTGTGCTTCCCTGCATTTAATTTCTCCTTAGCATGATCACCAGGACATTCTTTTTATTTTACTAATTTATCTTATTCATTGTCTCCCCAACTGGGATGTATGTCCATGAGAGAATCCCTATGTTCGGTGCTATAGCCTCAGTGCTTGGCACATAGTAGATGCTCATTAAATATTTATTGGATGAATGAATGAATGAATGAGGTGGGGATGGGGTGGGAGGGAATGGCAGATGGGGCCCTAAGATTGAAATGACCTCCCTCTGGCTTGTCATCTCACCTGTCCCCTGAGAGGTAGGCAAAACCAAGGCCAGGGGGAGGGGTGACTTGCCCAAGGTGACACAGTGAGTTAGGGGCAGAGCTGGGACTAGAATCCCAGTCCTGGGCCCTCCTCTAAGGCAGCTCAGGTCAGGAATATGCACCTCACACTAATTCTTCCAGGTTGGGTGTTGAGGAAGCTGAAATTCAGGGAGGTGGCATGACTTGCCCAAGATCACACAACCATTTGCTCGGTGAAACGACTGAGTACCTCCTTTGCTCCAGGAGAGGAGGGCGTAGCAGCAAACAGGATAGAAAAGACCCCTGCCCTCAAAGAGATCACGTTCTAGACAGAGAAATGGGCGCTGGATGAGTTAACACATAAATGTAAATGCCAGGAAGTGGTAAGAGCTCAGAAGACAGACAAAGCAGGGTGAAAAGATGTAGTGGTGTCAGGGGCAAGGCAGGATGGGGGGACGCCAGGTGACTTGGGGTGGCCAGAGAAGTCCTCTGTAAGAAGGTAACAGCTGAGCAGGAGCCGTGCTGATGAGGACACAGCCTTGCACGCGTGGAGCAGGGCCGGGATTTCCACGCAGATCTCTGCTCCAGAGCGTGTACTCTTCCCCAGTCGAACTGTGTTGCCACGAAAAATGAGCATTCTAGACAGTGAGGAGCACTGTATGGTGAGGCAAGGAGCACTCGACTCTGAGTGGGTCATGTACAAGTCGGAGCCTGAAGCCTGGGTGAGAGACAGCAGGCAGCGAGGGACAGAGTGGAGGCCTCTCAAGTGGAGGCCGCAGAGGCAAAGGCCCGCAGGTGGGCACGAGACACTCAGTCATGGGTAGAGTGGCTTTAGGGGAAGACGGGAGCAAGCTCTGATTTGTGTTGTTCATCTCCATGGTATAAATACTTTCCGCGTGGCCAATTTCAAGGGCTGCCAAAACTGGCTTGCAAAATTCCTGAAAATAAACCGAACCACTGGCTTTAATAAGCCAGTACAAACCGGCTGCAGCACACCACTGCTTCGGGGTCAACAGGGCGCTGGTCAGGCAGTGGCCATACAAGGGAGAAGCCAGAGATGGTTTGAAAAAGTGTGTGTGGAGCAGAGAATCCTGCATCCTAATTACTGGAAGGGCCCTTGACCATCATGAAGCATCTGCTGCTGTTCCTCCTCTATGTCACCTAATAGCAAGCCCAGGCCAAGAGGGAACGAGGGCCTCACCCCCAAACACATAGAGAGCTGGAGCCAGGGCAAGAACTGGGAGGTCTTAGACATCTCAGGTAACTAGCATCCTCTCCACTGCTTCCAACCACCTGTTCTCAATTGGTCCTGACCTGTGATGGCCTGACAGTCAAGGACTCCATTACCCATGAGAGGAGGGGTAGGAAGTGGGGGGCAGGGACATGTGTTCCAGGTCCAGTGGAGGGCAGAGGTGGGAGAGCTTCATGTCATCTGCTGGAGTAATGCTTAAGCTGGATTTTGAGAGATAAATAAGGAGTTTTTCAGCAAGACAAAGGAGGAAAGGGGAAAGAACATTGTAAAAGCTCAGTTTGGCATTACCAGGATATATGGTGGAAGGGCACAGCAAGAGATGAGGGCAGAAAAGCAATGCCCTGTTTCTCACGCTGAAGCCACAATGGTGGGCTTTCCAGTGACTGCAGAGAAGCTGTTTTTAAGTGGGATCACCTGTCCTACCAGAACCAGGGGGACGAGGTAGCACAGCAAAGTCCACTTGCTCATGGCTGAGAACCTGCAGGTGAGGGAAGGCCCAGGTCCTCCAGCATCCTGGCCCGGCCCTACTGGTGCCCAGCAAGTCACTCACCCCATGGTGGGTCTCTCCCCCTCACTCCCTTGTTGATCCCCTCTCTCCTCCTGCAGCCTCTTCTCCAGGCCAGGAATAGAACCTCACATCTGACAATCCTCAGCGGTGTTTAAATTTAATGGGCCTTCCTGCTTTTTCCTGCTCAGCACCTGGGCTGGGCGCTCTGCAGCAGCCCTGGGGAGAGGCAGGTGAATAATTCAGGCAGAGGCAGTGTT